CCAGGTGTATATTATAGATATTGTTGTAGCACGTGTCCTAGTAAATCCAACCACTGAGCAAATAGTTTATCTTGGTACAATAATTACGAAAGATGTTGTTTATTGAAGTTTTAGTTACGGTTAAACAAGTAATTATGTTTTAAAAACGTATTTAATATTTTATTGCTAATACCCATTCTGCTAGTCAATGAGACCGAATTCAGGAGATTGGGTGAGCTATGTGTATTTAAGTTAATACAAAAAACAATTACTCTTATAAAGGGTTCAATATATCAAACTAAAAAACAACAACACCAAAATAACTCATCTCTCAATAGTGTTCGACCACGAAGAGGCGGAGTTTAAGGGGTTGGTCGAACTGTGTTTCTCTTGCGCAAAATGGTAAAGTGTTCATTTTTCAGACAAGACCGCACTTAGCGACATAAGGCGACAAGTAAGATTCTTTGAGCCTTTCTTGGCCATCACAGAACTCTCGAAAACGGCTTTATATAGCAGAAGTATCAGATCTTGTACTACCCACGTGCGGCTACTACTGTGTCTTGTGTGGGGATTTGAATTTGGGTATGGATTTTACTCCCTCATAGCTCAGATAAAAATACAAATTCGGCCCTGCTGGTGGTTAATTCAGGTACCAGCTACCTCAAGGAGTTCATATCTCTATTCGAAGTTTAAAAGAGAGAGCCTGAAAGCTTTGTTTTGGAATTAACCATCAAACATATCTCCTTGACTCGCAGACAGGGTGTTAAAAACAGTACGTTTCGCTAGGTTAACCTAGTATCGCTCGATGGTAGCATTTGAACAATATAGATGAGCACAGCGAAACGTAGTGTTTTTTTTTAAATAAAATGAAAAATAACTTTTTAAAAACACAATTACTTGTTTTATCTCAAACTAAATAAAATTTTAACTTTCATATTCCAAGCTTTTCTTTTAATTTAAAAAAAATATTTTTGCTTGTTTAGTAATATTTATTTATAAGATCATATTGGTTGTATAACATTACTACTGGTAATGCGCTGTTATAATACACATATTTTAAGTATGTTAGCAAAAAGATGTTATTGTTTTTAACTTTTATAAAAGCGTACCTTGCTTTCAGAAATTGTTTGCTCAACAAACAAAAGCTCGGATTCTTCTCCGTTTAAGATAACTGTTACCAGTTTTTCATCACATTCATCTGAAAAAGAAACATATACATCTCATTAAAAATATAACAAGTGTTCGAGGGATCAGGTTCAAGACGTCTGTGAAACAAATACGAAGTATGTTTAAATGTTTGATGTAGTTTTTAATCAAGCCAATATTATTTGGAAAATATTTTATATATATAAATTTTTTACAAACTGAAAATTCTAAATATAAATATTTTACTTAAGACAATAACATATGAGAATGAGTATTGTTCAGTTGAGCTTCCTGGTGAAACATGTTTTAGTCTCTTGGTGATACTTGACGAGAAATATTTGGTTTATTGATGAAGCATGCTTCGAGTTTGTTTTATTGATGTGTGTTTCTTTTAAGGTAAAGTTACACAACAGGCTATCTGTACTCCGTCCACACAAGGAGAATCGAACCTCTAATAATTTTAACAATGTAAGTAAGTAAACTTACCGCTGACCCACAGAGGTACGTTTCAAGTTTCTTACTGAAACATCTGGTCCCTTTTGAGATGCTTGGTAACCTCTTGGTGAGTCATATTTTGATCCTTTCAGAATATCCAAACATTTCTACGTTCACACCTTTTAATACTGAACTTTTTAAGTTTTCATTTGTGCACTACACAACTTTATTGCAATAATAAAAAAGTGACAACTTTCAAGTATCACTTGTTGTGGCTCACTTTCCTAGGTTATACCAGCTGTAAAAAATATCAGCCCTCATCCGCAGTTCTGATGTAGGACGAAACAAGCGTTTTTCAAACCCACTCTAGATTGCTTACTGTTGTATGAGCCAGTTTAAAGATAGGTTATTAACTGGGGGAGGGAAGTTTGAAAACACAAATTCTTGCTATTTACATTGCATTGAAACGAATGTATTGTTGTCTGCTTTCTCGATGTTGAGAAAATATTCGACACTGTATGGACTAAATTATCGAATGTCACAAGTGAAACTACCGCCAGTTGTTATTCGCTGGCTCTCCAACTTTCTGGACAATAGGAAAGCTAGAATTAATGTGTCGGGCACCTTCTCGGAGTACTTTACCCCGGAGGCAAGTGTTCCACAAGGAGGGGTAGTTAGCTTTATTCTATTCATCATGTATGCGAGTGAAATGCCACTGTCTTATTCTGCTTCTGTTCCCAGTTTGATGATTATGTGTCTATCTGTAAGAGCTCATATACTCCAACCAGAGCAGCGACAAATTTACAACCACGGTTAAATGAATTAGAAAACCACTGCAACAAATGGAGAATCAACGTAAACGCCCCTAAAACACAAACCATATATTCAAAAAATCAAAAAAAGAGGAGCAAACAGCCCCCAAAATTATACATTTACGGAACTCTTCTCCAGGTAGCCACATCAGCCAAATTCCTGGGTCTAACCTACGATTCTAAACTAAGTTGGACTAAGCATATAAATGAAATTAGAAACAAAATCTGGCAAAGAGCGAATTATGTACGACGTCTGACTGGCAATAACAGGGGCGCTACAACCGAAAACATACTTAAAATATTGATTGTTTGTTTGTGTGTTTGTAATTAAGCAAAAAGCTATACTATGGATTATCTGTGCTCTGCCCACCACATGTATCGAAACTCGGTTTCTAGCGTTGCAAGTCTGTAGACAGCCGTTGTGCCACTGGGGAGGGGGGGGGGCACACTTGCATACGTCCAGTGGTAGAGTATACCTGCCCAGCATGGTTAAATGTAACCAAATCAACATACAAAAGTTACAGACAACACAAAATTCAATAATCACCAAAGCATACAGAATTCCTACACACACAAACACGAACACTTACACAATTATGCAAACATCCCCATGTTGTCAGACAGACTTCAAAATAGTTCAATAGATTACTTCCGCAAAAATCCTAACAAAAATGCATCATTAAGAACGCTGGAAAAATTTATCATACATGATAAAAACAGACATAATCACTTGTCACCACTAAATCTATGAAACCCCTTGTATAACGCATGGCCACCTACTGCTGGGCAAACCGGTAGCTAGACATAGTGCTAATTTTATTTTAAAAAAAGGTTTTTATACGTAAAAATAAGATTAGAGCCGTATGTTTCACATCGATATGTATGGAACTGTTTATGTTAATAAAACATTATGTTGACAATAAACGAAAAAGAGAAGTATATGCGAAGAAACACGAAAAATCCACGTAGTACATTCATGGACGTGGCCTCAAAAGGGACACTCGCGTGTGCGAACGAAGTGCTGTAACGCGCATGTAGCGGCTGCATGATGTAATAATGGGTTTTCCTAGCTACCAGCCCGATTTTTGCTGAACAATTAATGTCACAAACCAAACCAACAGTCGAGGAGGGAGGTAGAGGTCCAGGGTGTACCTTATCCTCCCAGGTTACTTGACCAAACAACCATCAACGAAACCAACCAACATTGCACTGATTTTCACATTAATTGTAGGATTATAGAAATATTTCTTTAGGTATAATCATGTTTGGATTATATACACTGTATAAATAAGTCTGCATACAATTTTTAAACTCTATAAGCTGATTTTTTTTTGTTGAATTCTGTTTGTCCAGATAACTAACTACTTGTAATACGCTCGTTCCTTTTACAACCGCTTCCTTTACGATTACTTGGCAATAGCTACAATTTTTTTTTCAGTTTATTCAATATTTACATTTTTTTCTTTTCTTTACGTGCAGACTTACTAAAGCATGCTTTAAAGATAAGAGGATGATTAATCTCCCGTTAATCTTGACTTTGGATCTTGTTGCCTCCTATGAAAGCGAAATCTTTCTCTTAATAACAGCAATTCTTTGTTTAAACCGCAACGCTTAAATTAAAAAAAAAACAAACCCTCATGACTATCAATCAAATAACTTGAAAATGTAGGTCGAACGTGCTAACCCCTGGTAGAAAGCCTTCAGTTAAGTCGACATAAAAGGCCAGGTGTGAACAACTTATTATAAAAAGCCTACAAGACAC